GAAGTCGACGTGCGCATCAACGATCAGCTGGTCCGCGCCTTGCTCGACACCGGCGCACAGGCAACGGCGGCCCGTAGGGGCGGCGAGCCGCGGAGGTGTCAGGATACGAATGGCGAATACTTGTTTTCGAACAAATCTAAGCCTGGTCTTTTATTTTTTATTGTACCTTAGCTGGATAACAAAGACAGGAGAGCCAAATACTGTTACCACACATTTTCTGATAATCGGAAATGTGCTCTCGATGGCCATCAGAAAACCTAGACTCACGCTAAGAAAGCAGCACACTGGAATCGGAAACAGAACCAACATTGGCCAATATGGGTATGAGTACTCAGATATTTGGTGGCATTCCTAGCGTCCGCGTTGCATTAATTTGTGTAAATTATCTTTCGGGTGCTGTTAGAGTTATCGACAAGTTGATTGACCTCGTCCTGACAGTGTTTGTGGCGAGTCACACCGCCGTGCGCAGCGTTGACCATCTTGGCGAGCTGCTGCGGAGGTTGGGCACGGGTTCCAAGCTTTAACACATGCACCGCACCAAGTGATCCATGTTGATCAAAAATGTAATTGCACCTGCCATGCTGACCGACTTGGTGAGGGGCAAAAAAGCCGTGCCTGTACCTGAACTATTTCTTGGATTAGAGTTAAGAAAACTGACACACAAACTCTAAATTATTGGAAGGGAAAAACCACGACCTTACAACGAGCCGAAAATGCGTCGAAATTGAGACGCTTCCGGGAGAGCAACGTCGAGACAGTCCGCGCGTCGATCGCCCGCGGCCCTCCGAGTGCCCGCGAACCTCCCTTGGCCGCCACCTCGCTCGCCACTCCATCACCCCCGCCTCCTCGAACAATCATCACTACTGGACATTTGTCATTTTAAGTTGTTTAAACGTACATGTATAACCATTGTCAATTTTGGAGTGCTGAGGGTGTGTGCGTGTGTAGTGAACCATCACGTCTTCAAGCGGGTGGCCTCCTTCAAGTATCTCGGGTCAACGGTGACAGAGGACAACCGCATGGACGCAGAGATTCGCCAGCGGGTGCTGTCCGGGATGCGCGCCTACCACTCACTCACCCCCCAGCTCAAGAGCGGCCGTCTCACGCGCGGGACAAAGGCCCGTGTGTACTCCGCCATCATCATGCCGGCGATCACATACGGGTCGGAGGCGGGGACGTTGTCGGCTGGGAGGGAGAAGCGCATCGCCGTAGCCGAAAACAATGCTTAGCGAAGAATAGGCGGGCCCGCCCGTGTTTAACCCGAAACTACAGAAGAATGTGTGGCGGTGCAATACAGACATCAGGTTGCTGTCGAAGATCAAGCCCATCATCAATGTGGTCAGAAAGCACCCCCTCCAGTACGTGGGACACGTGGTCCGCGGCTCGGCAACGCCCGCGACCTGCGCCATGCTCCGGACCTCGCCGCACGCCAAGGGCAGCCGGCCCCCCAGCAGGGTCCGTCGCCGCTATCTGGACCAAGTAACAAAAGACGCAACCTGGACTTCCCCGACCCCCACGAGGAGCGCCGCGACCATGCCAAGGCCAACAAAGCAGCGCGGGACGCCGCGAGAGAGGCAGCGAGCAGGGACCAGCCCTACGACCCGACCGCAGAGTAATGGTAGGAAGAACTAATACTTTCTCTCCCTTTTAGCCGCGTTTAGATAGTGCCCGCAAAGCGGAACGCCACTGGGAACGTTCTGTCTTTACACCTGGAGGCTCGCAAGTAGCGGGGTCACTCGCAGACCCAAGCGAAAACCACAAGTCTATGGAGACCTACGGTAAGAGGGCGGCAAAAAAACAGAAGGTTTAAAAAGTTAGTGGGGGTGTTTGGATCGAGATGCCACTTGCAAAACCAAAATTTTTGACACCTCACTCAACTTGATCGGATATCGGGAAAAGGTCGCACCACGCTATCAAAGTTTACCATAGATCTCTTATGGAAAAATGACCTAAAAAGTAACCTTTTTGCAAAATTGGCGGAAGGGCGGGCCTGCTTGTTTTTTAAGGTGGGATATACCTAATGAACGTTACAATTTAACCTGTTTTAACTTGTGTTCAAAAATATCTAAAAATGACTACATTTGGCCCAGGTGTCCCTTTACTAGTTCAACTATCTGATAATTTATAAAATATCAGATAGACCCGCATAGAGTCATTGAAAATAGTTTAGATTTGAGAGTTCTTGCTTATGGGACATTTCCACTTTCACATCTTGCGCCCAACTTTTCTCCGGAACTATTTGACTAAAAAGCCTGGCTGAAGGAACATTTTAAAGAGAAATGATCAGGCAGTGGGAAACCGGGCCCCTTTTTTATGTTTATTAAAATATAAATTACTGACAACAGTTTGAATTTTAAATCAAAAGAGATTTTGAATTCAAACTTATTTCAAAACTATACATTTCATTCAAAATAAGAAAGGGTCACAGTATCCCATTGCCTGATTATTTCTCTTTAAAATGTTCCCTCACCCAGGCTTTATAGTCAAATAGTTCCAGAGAAAAGTGGCGCGCAATATGTGAAAGTGAAAATGTCTCATAAGAAAACCCTCTTCAAATCTAAACAACTTTCAATGACCCTGTGATCTTCTGTTTTATAAATTATAAGAAAGTTTAACTACTAAAGGGCAACCTCACTTGGACCAAATGTAGTCATTTATAGATATTTTTGAACATAAGTTAAAACAGGTTAAATTTTAATGTTCAATGGGTATTTCCCACCTTAATGACCACTTAACAACAACTTTTCCTCTACACCCTCTACTGTTTGTTAACACTGAAATGAGTGATTAACTTAACCAACAATTTTCTTTCAAAACATTTATCTGTACAGGACAAGATGTTAGACAGTACCTTTGAAAACCTTCATGCTAAACTTGAGAAATCATACCACAACACAAGGGCCTTCTCAAAGGGGTGAATTATGAAAAAAACACAACCCAACAAGAAAGAAGAAATTTATAGCTTGAATAGCCCTAAATAAACAAGACAGAAAAGGAAGAGCTCAGTCACCTGTCCAGGTAAAAATTTTATTAAACATTAATCTGATCTAACGAAGCATGTTTCACTTCATATTTAACTTACATGCAATTCATCTAGTACCTACTTTGTGAAAACAAACACCCTAAAATAATGAAACTATTACAGTAAGTAATACACTTTGTTTGCGAATAGTGTAAGAAATATATGTTGACTTGTGGATGGGCAACGGTTTATATTAAAGAGGGCTGACCAAACCCAGATGATCTATCATGTATACTAATGCTTACCAAATACCAACAAAAGATTCACAATACACCAGTTCTGGGTAAGGTCAGCCAATATAAATAACCACCTTTGCACAACCACAAGTGAACATAATATTTCTTACACAATCCTGGAACAAACTCCCCTCATACCGGGTTTAAAAAAATAGGAGTTATTTACAGTTTGGTTGTGTGTATGGATTCACATGGCGTGGCTAGTACATGAAAATCCAAAGTCTACAACACCTCTGAACCATATCACTGCTGGTGCCATCCCCTGAAGGTTTGAATTTTAACTATGCAGGCATTCATCTCCTTATCAACTAAAAATAGTCACTAGGGCGCATAATTGACTGTATGGTGGTCAATCAACATTTAGACAAGTCGCCCTTAGCCCTACTATGCAGTGAAACAATGAGAGTGACCCGAGCTTTGAAAGTCAAAGTGCCACAACTAAACATTGGCCAATAACTGCAACAAAGAATAATTTATGGGAAAAGTCTTTGGCAACATTTGAAAATAGAGTTGTCCAGAGTTGTTGTTCTTTGAACACACACAGGTCAGGTAGGCTACTCTATACCTTAGGTGCACAGAGTGTTAGTTTTGAAAATATTTGAGAAAAAAAAGCATCCTAGTAAAGCTGAAATGTAGAATGAGAGGAACAAGAAAAGGGAAGTCACCATAATATAGCATAGCTAATTCCGTTCTCTTCTTCACCGCATTCTTGTGCATTTCAGATGTACAGGAATGCTTTAGTATTTGAATATGAAACATATTTCCATAGAGGAACAATAAAGGGTCTAAGTTAAAGGAGCTCTAGAAATAAAATTATTAATCAAACTGGGAAACTTACACCTTCGGGTAGAGAAAGGCCACAAGGAACTGTCTAAAAACTGCTCAAGTGATCCCACTTTGGCTCCATGGTGGGGTTTTCGTGGTTGTTGTGGCTCCCGCCCAAGTGCAGAGGAAGGGCTTAGAGGCTATCTCTTGAAGATCGGTGGAACGAACGATCGAACGAACGACGGGGCAAGTACAGATTTACAGATTGTAAATGAACTTATTAAAGCTTTCAAATTTAGTGCAATCTATGAAATGACACATTTCAAAGAAGGGCAAATTAAAGGGATTCAATAACTCCCCCTAATATTGGCTCTAAATGAGTTGGGAAGACAGTCTCCGAATTCACGCGTCTGAACTCCGAGAGTACTCTGCACACGAGTGTCAGCATTTGTAGTGGAAAGCAATAAAGCATCCCGGTAAAGCTGAAATGAAGAAGAATGCGGGAAAGAAGAGAACGGAAGTCACCATGCTAAAGCATAGCGATTTCCGTTTTCTTCTTCCCCGCATTCTTCCGCATTTTAGCTTTACCGGAATGCTTTATTCCGTCATTTCCTCCATATTCAAAATGTTATTTAACATAATTTTCAGGGAATGTTAGAACTTTCACATGTACAACTTTTAGAACGTTATTTACCCGCGTCCCGCCGTTAGATCGTCCGTTCGTTCGACCGCTCTTAAAGAGATAGCCTCTTACACAAACTCCCTCACTTCAGCTACATACACACTCTTGGTTCGTAAAGTTAAATAATAAAGCATCCCGCTAGAGCTGAAATGCAGAAGAATGAGGGGAAGAAGAAAACGGAAATCGCTATGATTTAACATGGTGACTTCCGTTTTCTTCTTCCCCTCATTCTTCTGCATTTCAGCTTTCAGCGTGATGCTTTAATGTACACCGCATCACGGAAGGTGGGACATACCGGGAGGATTGCAGCAGATTGTATGGGGCGCCCCGCGCCATCCTGGTGCAAGAGCAGCGCGAGCAGGACCAGCGCCTCACGTCCAGCCTCTCGCCTCCGGGTCTCCAAGCGAACTGCGAG